TTTGATGACGACGGCCGTAGAAGTTATCATACGCGCTCTTGATCGTCAGTTAATGAACCGTCAGTGTTCGTGTTACTACTAATTAATTAATCAATTAATGGCAGTTAAGTGCGCGCCGTGTGTTGGGAGATGCTTTGGTTGCTTAGCTCACCTGCACCACTTGCTTCCTTGTTAACTGGTGTCACGTTTTGCTTTCTTGTGATGAGAATATTATCAGAGATGGGGATCCAATCTAATATTTATTTAAGGTAGAGAAATGAAACTAGTAGCTTTCAAGTACAAAAATTTGTAGGATTTTTTTTTTAATAAATTGCCTCCGTCTTGTATGGAAGCACGATTCCGATAGGAAAAAAGAAAATTGATTGATGTTACAATATTGAGAGCACCACAGAATTGGAGGCGAGGGGGACAAAAAATCTATATTTATTTATGACACGCGTTTGAGATTTTTAAAAGTCGCCGACTACTGATTATGTGACCCACTTAATTTTGAAGGCTAATTTGTGAGGGCATGGAGACAATTTGTGAGATGGAAAATGACTACGATCGGGTCAAAAATATAGAACCATTCATGAGTTAGATACCTACCAAGTACTAGCCACAAATCAAATAAACAGGGGACAGTTGTGGCTGGGTTTGTCGGTCGTTTGATGATATTTTGGGCCGACAAACGTTTTATAGGGTGGGAACTTTGAAGGGTAAATAGCGTGCTTGAGTGTTGGGCGCAGAGTCACGCCTTCACGTCGTGGAAGTAATATTACCCGAGAGAAAGCTCTGGTTTTTGTTTTCACAAAAACTCAAGTCAACCTCTATATTTCCGTTTTACAAATGAAACAAGAACACAAGTAATGTATCTCAACAAAGTGAGATATACTCTCTTCCCAATATCATATCTAGGTCTGAATATCGAGGAAACCAACAAGCAATAGCTAACACCCAGAAGAAGAAAAAACAGTAAAGACATGAGATTTACGTTGTTCGGCAAACTTGCCTACGTCCACGGGAGGGCTGAAGGGAGATTCCACTATGAGGAGAACACTGACGACTTGTACAACACACAAGCTCGTCCCAAAGATGAAGCTATGATTTTTTTATCAAAAAGAAATTGACCTCTCTCTTGTAAAATCTCTCCAAGCCCTCTCTTTTTCTCTCCTCAAAATCTCACCTTTTAGGTCTGAAAAACTCTCTATTTTTTCTCTCAAAACAACTGCAAAAACCCCTTAGAAAACCCTAGGAACGAGTTATTATTTATACCAAGAAAATAGGGCCCAAAACCACAGAAAAATAGCCAAGCCGCTCTCGGATGAACAATATCGAGACATTGTTCACTATCTCGGGTGAACAGTGTCGAGACACTGTTCACTGTCTCGCATTGTTCACATTCACAATTCTCCACCTCGTACATTATTTGATAAACCTCAAATGTTCGACGAACACCAGAAGAAACACTGCGAAATGTTCGACGAACACCAGAAGAAACACCGTGAACATCACAAGAGAGATCTGAAAAAAACGCCAAAACCAGGCCAAACTAGCTACACCATTATACAATGGTTGCCTACGTACCCTCTGACCGGGATCAAGCTAATCGTAGTTATGAAATTCTCCATGTAATCTCCACATCACCCCATCACCGCCCCGAAAAGCCATGCTCTCTTGGGCAGATCAACACGGGTTGATATGAAACAAGTCCAGGTATTGCTGAAACTTACTACCTATCACCACCTTGGTCAACATGTCTGTTGGATTCTCATTCGTGTGCACCTTCATGAGAGAAATATCACCTTCCTCTATGACATCCCGCACAAAATAATATCTAACGTCGATATGCTTGGTACGAGCATGATGAACTTGATTCTTCGCCAAATGAATCGCACTCTGACTATCGCACCACAAGTTCACGCTCTCCTGTTCAATCCCCAAATCGTCTAGCAGACCCCACAACCATAATGCTTCCTTCACTCCTTCCGTCATGGCCATGTACTCGGCCTCTATAGTAGAAAGTATCACTGTAGCTTGTAACATCGATCGCCAACTAACTGGAGCACCATGTATTCTGAACACATAACTAGTAGTAGATCGATGTCTGTCTAGATCTCCTGCATAATCTGAGTCCACAAACCTATCAATCTGACATGTATCTCCATCAAAGCACAGGCCCGTATCAGCGATATCCTTCATGTATCTCAAGACCCATTTCACTGCTTCCCAATGCGTCTTTCCCGAATTCATCATGAACCTACAGATGACACTGACCGCCTGTGAAATATCTGGATGTGTATGTTTGAGTCAAAAGTTGGTTTTGTCATGGAATTCATTATATCTTCGGTCGATTACAATAAATTCAAAAAAAAGAGATAGCCTTTTTATAAGACCTATTTTACACAACAAAATAAAAATTACAACTCTTGAGAAACAAACGCAGGATCGTTGTTTGGATCGCTGCTTGCGTGGGATCTTTGCCTGTGCCGGGGGTGCGTTAGCCCGTGGACCACCAAATCACAGATTCTGATTGAATCGTGAGGGGTTTATGATTCTGACTTCGTTTATCGAAGTGAGAACTTGAAACGATATCTTATCAAGGTAAGATAGTCGTTCTTCTTGAAATCAAGTCAAAGCCTGAATATCAAGGAGTTGCCAGAAACTCAAGAACTCTGCTCTTTCTCTGCTCTGAAGTGCTCAAAATGATCAGCCCCTCTCAAAAACTCCCGGGGAGACAGTAAATACTGTCTCGTGAACAGTAACCGTCTGGCCGTTTTTGTTGTAACTGCCTTCCCACGTTTTAAAACTCCGTTATTTTGGCAGTTGTCAACGTGATTCTCGCCCACAACGTTCCCCATGTTCTTTGACAGTTAATGGACGTGTGTGGCAGTTGTTCAAGGTGGTTTCTGACCATTTCAAAACTGTCTCGCACGGAGAGACAGCAAACGCTGTCTCGCGCGGAGAGACAGCAAACGCTGTCTCGCGCGGAGAGACAGCAAACGCTGTCTCGCGCGGAGAGACAGCAAACGCTGTCTCGCGCGGAGAGACAGCAAACGCTGTCTCGCGCGGAGAGACAGCAAACGCTGTCTCGCGCGGAGAGACAGCAAACGCTGTCTCGCGCGGAGAGACAGCAAACGCTGTCTCGCGCGGAGAGACAGCAAACGCTGTCTCGCGCGGAGAGACAGCAAACGCTGTCTCGCACGGAGAGACAGTAAAGACTGTCTCACACGGAGAGACAGTAAACACTGTCTCGCGCGGAGAGACAGTAAAGACTGTCTTTTTTTCTTTGATTTTTTGATGATCTCCTCTTGAGCTGTATTTGGATATCTATTAGCATTTTTTTCACATAGAACCTAAAAGAATTAATGATGCTTTAAATGATGAATTTTGGGTTTTAGCTATGCATGAAGAATTAAACAATTTTCAAAGAAATGAAGTTTGGAAGTTAGTTCCTAGACCAAATAATGCTAGTGTTATTGGTACAAAATGGGTTTTTAGAAACAAACTTGATGAACATGGCATTGTTACTAGGAATAAAGCTCGTTTGGTTGCCCAAGGATACAATCAAGAGGAGGGCATAGACTATGATGAAACCTTTGCACCGGTTGCAAGGTTGGAATCTATTAGGATGTTTTTGGCATTTGCTAGTTTCAAAAATTTTAAACTCTTTCAAATGGATGTTAAAAGTGCCTTCTTAAATGGTTTTATAGAAGAGGAAGTGTATGTTGAGCAACCCCCCGGTTTTATTGATCATGATTTTCCAAACCATGTTTACCGGGTACACAAAGCTTTATATGGGTTGAAACAAGCTCCTAGAGCTTGGTATGCTCGCCTCTCTAGTTTTCTTGTTGAAAATGGTTTTTCAAAAGGAACAATTGATAACACTCTTTTTGTAAGAAAAAGAAAAAATGATTTCATTTTAGTTCAAATATATGTGGATGACATTATTTTCGGTGCTACTAATGAATCCTTGTGCAAGGAATTTTCTAAAGTTATGCAGGATCACTTTGAGATGAGTATGATGGGAGAGCTTACATTCTTTCTCGGGCTCCAAGTCAAGCAAACTAAGGATGGGATTTTCATTTCACAAAGCAAGTATGCAAAGGAATTGGTGAAGAAATTCAAGTTGGAGAATTCCAAGCATGCGCCTACTCCCATGAGCACTAGTGTTAAGCTTGATGCGGATGAAAGTGGTGAAGACGTGGACCAAAAATTATACCGAGGTATGATAGGTAGTCTTCTTTATCTTACTGCTAGTAGACCCGATATTATGTTTAGTGTGTGTGCATGTGCACGTTTTCAAGCATCTCCTAAAGCATCTCATTTAATTGCCGTTAAAAGAATCATTAAATATGTTAATGGTACTTTTAATCTTGGCTTGTTTTATCCCAGAAGCACTTCTTTTGATTTATATGGTTTTTGTGATGCCGACTTTGCCGGGTGTAAAGTAGATCGCAAGAGTACTAGTGGAACATGCCAATTCTTAGGAAATTCACTTGTTTCTTGGGCTTCCAAGAAACAAAATTGTGTTGCATTGTCCACTACGGAAGCGGAATACATTGCCGCCGGCTTATGTTGTGCTCAAGTTTTATGGATGAAACAAAGTCTAGTTGACTATGATTTGCATTTCCAAAATATTAAAATCTTTTGTGATAACACAAGTGCCATAAATATTTCAAAAAATTCGGTTTTGCATTCTAGAACCAAACATATTGATGTACGCCATCATTTCCTACGCGATCATGTAGAGAAACTAAATGTATCCCTAGTATTTGTTGACACAAAATCTCAACTAGCGGATATATTCACTAAGCCTCTTGGAGAGGATGATTTTTGTCGCATAAGAAATGGTTTGGGCCTATGCACTATGTGAGCGTTCTACATTGTGTGCTTGTTTAGTTGTCGTTTATATTTCTTTTTACCCCATTTTTTTTGATGTTGCCAAAGGGGGAGAAACCTCTCCTCTTTTGTTGCACATCCTTAGGGGGAGCTCATAGATAGGGGGAGCATCTATCTATAAGTTATTTTATTTTTGCTCTTAAAATGGTTGGTTGTCATCATCAAAAAGGGGGAGATTGTTAGCCCTTATGTTTTGATGATGTTCTTACAACCACCATTATTGGTACTAATGGCTTATTGAGTGAAATTGTAGTAAATCTATTTATCAAGCTCGTTAGTGCCATAAATGGAGGATGGATGGAATATATGCTACAAAGATAATATCCAAAGGAGGAGGAGGCCAAGAGATGAAGCAACGTTAATTCAAGAACGACAAACTCATATAAAAGCTTCATCCGATTCAAGCTAATCAAAGCTCAAGTATTGCTTTAAATATGAGGATATTAGCTTTCCTTTATGTTTCTCTCTAGTGCTAGATTGTAGGCAAAGAGTCACTATGTTTACATGAAGCTATTGGGACTTACACACATGTTTTCTTTCTTAAACTTTTAAGCCGTTTTCACAAAACCTTATTTTTCACAAATACGAGAACCTATCTGCAAAATTCTTTCTTCAAACAGTTTGTTTTTAGTATCAAAAACATTTTACAAAGTTTCAGATTTTTCAGAGGTCAAATAAATATTTTACAAATATTTTAACTTGGTCAAAAACATGTTTTCCAGCATATGTCAGAAAGCGGTCGACCGGATCGGTCGACCGCACATATCATCTTTTCTTACTGGTTTCCAGAGAGGTCGTCGGTCGACCGGGCCGGTCGACCGAATTCTCGATTTTTATATCGGTCGACCGATCCGGTCGACCGACAGTGTTTCTGCTGGTTTTCTTATTTTTCTGAAGCAGCTCACGGTCGACCGAAATTTTCGGTCGGTCGACCGACGTGATTTTCGGTCGACCGAACGATATTTCGGCCGACCGCTTTTTTCCCTTCAGTCAACACGAGATTTTTTTAAAACGGTCATTTTTATTTTCGATTGTCGTGCTTTCACTCTTTTGTGCTTGGCTCAGTCTGAGCTAAGACTCTGTAAAGGGGATTATCTTCCTAAATAGGAAGATTGGGTTTGGTTTTAAAATTGTTTTAATCTATTCTATAAAAACCCTACAGCTGCTTCTTCTTCTTCTTCTTCCTTGAGCCAAACGTTTGAAAAACCAGAGAGAGTGTTTTCTGTTTCTGCTGAGAAAATTTTCAAATCAGTCCTGCTTTCTTCTCTGTGGTTTTGTGTGAGCTCACCTCCCAGCTTCAGAAATTTGTTCTCTTTGCCATAGGAGCTTTGTAAGAGAGAGTTCTACATCTGTTATCTTGTGCTGTGTAGTTGAGATCTTGAGTAAGATCTACTGTGAGGGAGTGATCTGTTGAGATCAAACTGTGTAGTGAGAGAGATCGTGTGGGATCGCTGTGTAGACGAAGTTCCGGCTTCCAAACCGGCTGTGTAGTGGATTTCTCCTCGAGAGTGGGGAGCGGGGACGTAGGCCAGAGGGCCGAACCTCGTTAACACATCGCGCGTCAAGGATAACGATTCCTAACCCTCTCTTATTTACCTTGTTTGCATCTATTCACTGTGAATTGATTGTTGTGTGTTTTTAATCTGCATATTAGAGCCTTTTGACCCTAATCACCCCCCCTCTAGGGTCCAACACTTTTTACAATAACTTTGTGGAAAATCAGCTGATCGGTTCGCCTCAGCAACGAATCAATCGGTTGGCCAACCGATTAGTAGCTAGAAAACTTAAAAAATTACATTTAGACCCTAAAACTTAGAAATTTTTGGACATTTGTAACCCTAATTGCCTAAATTAACATATTTGCTTGTAATTTAAGATAATGGCTTCTAGAAAGCATCAACGAACTGTAGAGTTCTCTCTATCTTTTAGCAATCTATCGATCCATTTTGAGAGAGGATTCAATATAGATAAATGTTTTGAATTCCGACCCATTACTGAGGTATCCACAACAACAGAGATCAATTCTATGATGACTCATAAACCCAAATTGGCTAACTCTACACTTGTCTGAGAATTTTACGCTACTTGAGATAGATCTAGAGAGGACTCAACCTCTGTCAGCAGAGATCAATTCTATGATGACTTATAAACCCAAATTGGCTAACTCTACACTTGTCTGATAATTTTACGCTACTTGAGATAGATCTAGAGAGGACTCAACCTCTGTCAGCAGAGATCAATTCTATGATGACTTATAAACCCAAATTGGCTAACTCTACACTTGTCTGATAATTTTACGCTACTTGAGATAGATCTAGAGAGGACTCAACCTCTGTCATTGTTGTAGATATACCAATCACAATCACACCTAGCTCATTCAGAAGGGTCTAGGACTCCCCAAACCATTTAGAAGTTGCCCAGATTTCTTCCGAGTCTCTGCTGAGTTACAGAGAACCTCTGATGTATACAACTAGATGGCAAAGTATCTATTAGGAGGCGAGGAAGACTTTGAGGATGAGGATAACAAATACTCCTCAAACTTTGTTTGGTCGAATTCGTACTCGACCGTTGATTCAACCGGGATCTTGATGATTGGTTGCGACACGACGGTCTCGGCAGCGAGACCGTTGGCTCCCACTGTGGTCGCCAGTTTGTTTGCGTCAAAAGTTGGTTTTGTCATGGAATTCATTATATCTTCGGTCGATTACAATAAATTCAAAAAGAGATAGCCTTTTTATAAGACTTCCTTTACACAACAAAATAAAAATTACAACTCTTGAGGAACAAACGCAGGATCATTGTTTGGATCACTGCTTGCGTGGGATCTTTGCCTGTGCCGGGGGTGCGTTAGCCCGTGGACCACCAAATCACAGATTCTGATTGAATCGTGAGGGGTTTATGATTCTGACTTCGTTTATCGAAGTGAGAACTTGAAACGATATCTTATCAAGGTAAGATAGTCGTTCTTCTTGAAATCAAGTCAAAGCCTGAATATCAAGGGATTGCCGGAAGCTCAAGAACTCTGCTCTGTCTGCTCTGAAGTGCTCCAAATGATCAGCCCCCTCAAAAAAATCGATCTCAGGGGGTATTTATAGCCTCCAGGATGAACAGTATTTCCGAGACAGTAAAGACTGTCTCTCCCCGCGAGACAGTAAATACTGTCTCGTGAACAGTAACCGTCTGGCCGTTTTTGTTGTAACTGCCTTCCCACGTTTTAAAACTCCGTTATTTTGGCAGTTGTCAACGTGATTCTCGCCCACAACGTTCCCCATGTTCTTTGACAGTTAATGGACGTGTGTGGCAGTTGTTCAAGGTGGTTTCTGACCATTTCAAAACTGTCTCCAGGATGAACAGTATTTCCGAGACAGTAAAGACTGTCTCTCCCCGCGAGACAGTAAATACTGTCTCGTGAACAGTAATTCCGAGACAGTAAAGACTGTCTCTCCCTGCGAGACAGTAAATACTGTCTCGTGAACAGTAACCGTCTGGCCGTTTTTGTTGTAACTGCCTTCCCACGTTTTAAAACTCCGTTATTTTGGCAGTTGTCAACGTGATTCTCGCCCACAACGTTCCCCATGTTCTTTGACAGTTAATGGACGTGTGTGGCAGTTGTTCAAGGTGGTTTCTGACCATTTCAAAACTGTCTCGCACGGAGAGACAGCAAACGCTGTCTCGCGCGGAGAGACAGCAAACGCTGTCTCGCGCGGAGAGACAGCAAACGCTGTCTCGCGCGGAGAGACAGCAAACGCTGTCTCGCGCGGAGAGACAGCAAACGCTGTCTCGCGCGGAGAGACAGTAAAGACTGTCTCACACGGAGAGACAGTAAACACTGTCTCGCGCGGAGAGACAGTAAAGACTGTCTCGCGCGGAGAGACAGTAAAGTCTGTCTCGCGTGTGGGAGAGACAGCAAACACTGTCTCGCACGGCGAGACAGCAAACATTGTCTCGCACGGAGAGACAGCAAACACTGTCTCGTACGGCGAGACAGTAAAGACTGTCTTTTCTTTAATTTTTTGGATGACTTCCTTTTGAGCTGTGTTTGGATATCTCTCAGCAT